TCGTATATCTATGATAAATCTCGGTGAAAATATATACTGAATAGGTACTCCCATCTTCTATACATATGAATATCGTAAAAATAAATGCCTACTTCATGCTTATAGAATGTCTAAAAATACCAATGAACTCGAATTTCACATCCACGTCGACATTAATACCTCATTATTTTGGATTATTACCTATAAAACAACTCCAATTGAATTCACTTTATGCTCTCATGTTTTGGATTTTTATAACTGACACTTTCTTATTCAGCTTCTTTCATTAAATAGTAGTTCACTAATTACAATTTGGTTCGAGTATCATCTGAGCCATAACAATATGTGACTACTGGGTCAAGGTGTTATCGTGATCATCGTCGTGATCATATTCAGCATATTCACTTGAAGTTTCGACATTGTCAACCAAAATTTGATCAGTCAGTAAGTATCTAATTGATTTCCCAAAAAAACATTTCGAAAATTGAATTTTTCAGAATATTGGAAGACACTCGGGAAGTATTCATGAGCAATAAATTCAACATGGTGATTCTCATTATGGATACCTAAGCAGTTGAACTCTAAGCAGTCCTATATTCGGTACTTACTTTCTCCAACGATGCATTATCGAGTGCATCATCGATGTTTAATGGCTTGTTTCTATCACAATATTTAACGTATTTTTTCATTGACGTAGATACACACAAACAAGTCACCAAGATTAATTCACATCAAGTCTCTGTATCAACAGCATCTACATACAAATAAAAATGGAATGTAGGTGTAGGTTTTCTGTGAGACATTGGATCGAATCATCAAGGTTATGCATACATTTATGAATGAGCTAATCGTCCATAATAGTACAAATTCGATCGGTTATGATATTGATGTATATAAAAAAATACTCATAAGCAATAAACACCAGGTGATTCTCAATCACGTTCTCAATACATCTAAACTCGTTTCTTATACCCAAATTATTTTTTGATCCTTCCGAGCATCCTTCCATTTTCAATGATTATATAGGGAGAGCTTGATGAATGATGTTCATTGCCAAATGGATAGTTGTATGCTACGAGGAAAATGAAAATAGCAAATCATTGTCAACCAGTACATAAAGCATAATTCTAGTCAGTCAAATCGTTAATCCACGCTTCGGAATTAAATGACCATAATGTTGAAAATTACTTAGTATTCTATATATTAGTGGAGAAAGAGAGGACAATAAGATTGGCGACAACCTTCTGAATAAATTATATTCTGAAATGCAACAGAGTTCATCGAAGGTAGGTACTGAAAAACTACCAACATTTGTTTTGACGAAACGTCGTATTTTTACTTTCATAATAAGCTGGACAATATTCTTCATTGATGATGGTTGTTGTTACTTTAAAATATTCCGATGATAATCGGGTCGGTTCTGTTTGCAAATAGCGATATGGTTGTAGAGAAGATATTGCTATCATAGCAAGATTCGAAAAAGTAGAATTCCAATCATCGATTTTTGGCAATATGATCTGTCAATTTCAATGACATCTGGGGTTAAGTTGAGTAGGTGGGGTTAAGTTGAGTAGGAATTGACTGGATTCGTCTGGTCATGACTAGACTTCGCCCATTTGCCCTCGGTATTATTGTTTTTTTTTTGTGAGGACAAATAAAGACAAATTATCTGGTCAGCTTTCTTGCTATCTCGGCAACATTAATTTTGTGCTTGCTATCTTATAACAAGGTAGTGGATTCTTTGTTTTTGCACTACAAATTCTTCCGAGTATATGAAAATTCAGAAAATAGTGGATTGAAAACATATGAGATTTAGAATGGTGATTACAAACATGGATAGGTTCACTTCTGTGACCAACTACTTGAAAACCTCTTCTTGAAGTTCTTATTTGTAGAGGAAATATGAGACTACAATTACGGCATATCAGAGAAATTTTAGTTGCCTGATGGATAGTCTATCAAGCTATTTTGCTAGAATAATGAAAAAAATCACGATCATTTTCATCCTGCTCTTAGTTCTTTTCTCACTTCGGAGAAATGATTGATTACTTGCACCAGTCGCACAACGACGACCAGATTCAGCAAATACAAAATCTCTCGATTTTAACGATATAATTTTGTAAAATGTCAGTGGACTGACTATATTGAGAGGTTAGATGATCATGAACTCTTCTTCATGAAATAATGACAAAATCGATACCTAACACTTGAACAATGAGTTGAAAACAGTGTTGTCAGCTCGAAAATTCTCAATTTTTCAACAATATTCCTATCACTTGAAGTTATAACCAGTCTTGCAGTTATTCTGCAAACAGAATACATAACTTCATAGCAATATTGTTATATATTATGATCATAACAATATTATTATCTTAGCAATGTTATAACAAGATCCGGACAGAATCGACCCGAATGATGCTCGATCATCTCTTCGCCTCATTTGCAGAATACTGAATCCTCGACAAAATCTCACTAAGTTCCTAACTATGTATACCAACCGAGATACCAACTTAATGTGGAAATCTATTCCCAAAATGATTGAATACCATTCATATATCAACTCTCCTTGAAAAGAAACTTATTTCTGCATCAGTAATATTCGATACAGGTACCTGAAAAAAAACATCAACTTGGATTTTCTTTGGCCCAATATTTTACACAGTTGATTTCTCACAACGTGAATATGTTTTTTCGTCAGAGATATCAACCGAATCCTCATTGTAGATGTGTAATCAGTCTGTCATAATGTGATACATCTTAGAAATGGAATTCCTAAACATGTTTTTACTCCTCAGTGACAGTGCAGTTACTTCTCTTCTTCAATATAGGTACCTCTTCATGTACATCTTGAAATCAATAGATGCTCTTGACGAGGTACTCAATTTCTCATAAACCTACTATTCTGAACACCGATGTATTTGCTTTCTTCGAACACTTTTTTGATTATAAGATAATATGCTAGCTCGTTAACTAGATGGGATGCCCCCCTGAAATTAAATTTATGCGGTATTTATTAGAAGTGAATGTAACGTAATTCATTCAATTTCAAAGTCATAATTTTGTGAGTGGAATCGGTTGTTCGAGATTATATTCGTCTCATTACAAGCTTATTGTCACGAAAACTTCTGCTTCATATGGTCATTTCCAATAATAAACTCACCTATTAGCTGAAACCATTGAATGTTTCCAGCTTGGTTTCCAGCTTATCTAAAAATTCGAGTATAATGAGCCATGTAATGTGTAAAACAACAAATTACCATATGCCTATCGAACATCGAACGTTAACTACTATGTGTAATGATGGAGTTATCATAAACCTATATACTGCGTACCTATATGATTAGCAAATAATATATTTACATTCGAAAGAGCATTCGAATATGAAACATTTTGCTATATCGATCTATTCTTAGTTCTGAATGGAAAATAAAGGTGAAGAAATGATGAATTACTGAAATTCAATTTTGTGTGTTGTTTTCCTCCGTTGATTTTTCACTGGAGAAAGAAAGCCATCAAAATGTTTGTGAGTCGATGTTTTTGCTGTTGAATCTTAGGTACTTACATAATACATTGATTCAATAAGAAATAACTGCTGCTTTTCCTGTGAAGTATCGTTCGTGATAGTGGCATATGATATAGTGGTTGTTATAAGTAGTATAATGCAGTTCTTTATCGCTTCGCGCGCACGAAAGAAATTCCTCTTGATGTTCTTACCGGTTTGTACATTGAGAATCGGAGAATCCCGATGTCATGAAGGATCTTCTCCGAACCAACTTCATCTTTCTTTATCTATCTCAGAGGGTGTTCTGGAGAAGAAACCATGAATTTGAGCTCTTTGAGTGTGTGTGGTGAATCATTCCCTGGCGCGAGAAAAAATCCGAGGAAAAACCCAAAAAAACAAGCTCCTACTATATTGGCAAAATGGTCGTATCAAGATAGATGATCAGATACTATGATAGGTCTTTGCATCTCCATACCGACCCTATATCACATGGCTAGCTTTCTCTGGTGAAAATGGTACTTATGTCTCCAGAGGGTAGATTTGAGGTACGCAATGTTTCATCTAATGGATTATTGGGATACTTTGATAGGTCCTTGCATCTCCATACTGACGCTTTATTGCATAGCTAGATTTCTCTGATGAAAATGCTACATATGTCTTCAGAGGGTAGATTTGAGGTTCGCAAGATTTCCTCCAATGGATTACCTTTTAGGATTATTAACTCTTTTTTGAATCTTTATCTATGCTAATCGATTTGTTTTGATGCGGGTTTCGCACGGGGGTTGGGACTTCAGCCAACTAAGCCGACACAGTCTATCAGCGCTGGCCTCCACAATATAACTCGAAACATTACTGAAAGCATCTGAAAGTAACTTGTCTGAGACCGGTGTCTCAATAAATGCCTGAGTAAATATACCTTCGTAGGAGGGTGGGTAGATGCCTTCATTAATGTTCATCTTCATGAAGACATCGACCACACAGGATTTAGTGATGGATGGGTATATAAACTGATATGTCACTAGCATAATTGAGATCTTGACGCTATACTCGTGTTTCAGTGCTATAGACCTAGGTTTTTGCCATTCACCTAGGGCCGAATTCTAAATGTCACTCCTGAATCAGGTTGTTTATCAGTTTGGTATATGGCAAACTCAGGATGGGTCCCTTATAATTAACTCATACGAAATGCTCCAGGCGGCTTCATTGTTATATTGAATAACCTTCGAATCATCATGTATTGTGTAATGTAAACAAATCGTACCTATGCCTATTTCGTTTCCGAACGATATCTAGTATTTTCCTGTCAAGATATTCATTGCTTTTATATAAGGGATCAAGATTTCAGAAGCGTTGAGAATATAATCTACTTCAATTTTGTAGGAAGGAATACGAGTTTATCTACTACCTCTAGTGGAGTATTCCTTCCATCAGACGTATTGTCTCTTTTCCTTATCATCTCAGTTGATGGAAAGTCGAAGTAATTCACACTGAAAACAAGAAAAATAAAGTCGTCACTCACGTGTAATCTATTGATGATTCTGTCAAACTGAGAGGGCGTCTTGTTACCGGCGGCACTGGCAACACCGTCCACCTTCTTCTTGCAAAACTTGTTTCCCATTTTCGGTTGCACTCTGTGCACTTGCACAAAAACACCCACGGCAACCAAAAACCGCACCGTACAGTTGGCTGTGGAACCAAAACAAAACGTCGTGCATCAAGATCTAGTGCGCCTCGCGTCGCGACCTTTTCACAGCGCTGACTGAGCCGCACACAGAGCGCACTTCCTCTCACGGCAGGTTAGGTTGAGTCACTCACGCACGACAAAACACGGTTGTGTCATTGTTCAGAATCATATGTCGGACAATGGGCGAGTGAATTAATTTCCACCAGATCGCAAACTATAGGGTGGACAACCCTCCCGATTCGGGCGGAAGTCTCTTGCTTTTCGCTTTTTGCCTGTTTAGTCGGGGCTAAATTCCAAAAAAAAAGCCCTCTGTTACAATCCTAGGAGCATTCCATGTAACAATTGGATAAATGCTGTTAACCCCCTATTTTGACCCCGCTGAATCCGAAAATACCGTTTTCAAGTCGAAATTCCAACCGGAAGTGAGATATTCAAGATGGCGTCCAAAATACCCCTAAAATCAAATTATTTTCTACTTTCGGTCAGCTATACGATTGAGGTGTCGATGTCTATGTTTTCGGGGGTGTTGAATACGATGAGACACTCAAACAATGATTTGGAGCATTGAAAGTTCATCTAACGACGAAATGGTCCAACATTCCAAAGAACTTGTGAAAACGTGTTGTAATGTTCATGCTTGCATACGTTTTCGAGGGTGCTCAATACGTTAATGAGCCAAAAAAGCATTCAAACATTGTCCAAGCCTTCATTTCTTATATTTTGAAACAAAAATGCACTTTTAGTCTTTCTCATCTTTTTCTGCTCCATTCGGCTTCCTGCAGCCACACTGCTTCGTGCTGCAGAGCCCCATGCAGCCACAAGCTCCAAATTCTGGACATGACTTGGGAATAGGTGGCAAAGTCATCAAGATTGGGACATACCGTCCATCAACAATTTTCCAGCCGCAATTAATCGGATCTGGTGAATCAAGATACTGATCATGGGCGTTGAACCACACACTAGTACCAAAAAAGAAAACAGACTCACATTAAAATCCATCGATTTTTGATATTTTCTTATTTTTCTCTTGTTAATTTTATCTGGAAGCAGCACCGAAGAATGTGTTGATGAATGGCATCACTGGTAGATGGCATAAAGCATTCGCACTGTCCCAAAAATTGCAACACGGGCTGCGTCTGCCGTTGTAATGTCCGGTCCAACTTAAAATAATAATGGTATTAGTATAAAAACGGCTAACAGTTCTTATTCACCATGTGTCTTAGAAAAGGGACGCAACAAACCTTGTATAAAGCTGGCACCACAAACTGTTCAACCAAACGGAGATCTTCGGGGGCTATATCAGGAGTCTTTCCAAGCTAACTGAGGAGATTACAGTAGTTTTCTTCGATGTACTGCTTCCACCGTCCTGTTTTTGTTGCAGACCCTCATCAAGATTTAGTATCACATCCGATGATTGCGTGGAAATGCATCAGGTTTTTGATCTGTTGTGATGTGAGCTTCCTACATAGTTCATGAATTGTAATATACTTTCTATCTCGGAAAGTACCACACATCACCCAGTAGTCCTTGCATTTCATTTTTTCAAAGTGATAGATGAATAATAATATCACACCAGTGTCTTTGACAGAAACAACAACAGCCTCTCTTTCGGTTTTTACGCATGGAGTATATTCCAATTCACGAACTATGTAAGAAGCTTGCACCACAACAGATCAAAAACCTGATGGCTTTCCACGCAATCACTGGATGTGATACTACATCTAAGTCAGCGTCAGTAACAAAAACAGGACAGTGAAAGCAAGTACATAGAAGAAAACTACTGTAAACCCCTGAGTCAGCTTGGAAAAACTCCCGATCTAGCCCCCGATGATCTCCGTTTGGTTGAACAGTTTGTGGTGCAAGCTTTATACAAGGTTTGTTGCGTCTCTTTTCTGAGACACATAATGAATAAGAACTACTAGCCGTTTTGATACTACTACCATTTTTATTTTAAGTTGGACCGGACATTACAACAGCAGACGCAGCCCATGTTGCAATTTTTTGGACAGTGCGAATGCTTTCGCCATCAACACATTCTCCGGTGCCACTTCCAGGTAGAATTAACAAGAAAAAAAAAGAAAATTGAACAAATCGAAGGATTTTAATGTTATTCTGTTTTTCTTTAGATACTAGTATGGATTAAGGCCCATGATCAGTATCCTGATTTATAAGACCCGATTAATTGCGGCTGGAAAATTGTTGATGGACGGTATGTCCCAATCCTGATGACTTTGCCACCTATTCCCAATTCATTTTGCGAATCTGGAACTTGTGACTGCTAGAGGCTCTCTCGAAATATAAGAAATGAAGGCTTGGACAATGTTCAAATGCTTTTTTGGCTCATAAACTCATTGAGCACCCTCGAAAACGTATGCAAGCATATACATTATGCAACACGTTATCACAGGTTCTTCTTCTTCCAAAAACATAGACAACGACACCTCAATCGTATCGCTGACCGAAAGTAGAAAATAATTTGATTTTAGGGGTATTTTGGACGCCCTCCTGAATATTTCACTTCCAGTTGGAATTTCGACTTGATAAACGGTATTTTCGGATTAAGCGGGGTCGAAATAGGGGGTTAACGTCATTTATCCAATTTTTACATGAAATGCTTCTAGAATTCGGCTCTTCGCAAAACAAGCCCCGACAAGTACACCAAAATCTAGTATGCATGCATTATATACTATATGCATAATGTATATATAAATATAGCATATGCATATGTAGGTATATGCATCATGCCTCTTCATCAAGACCATATTTTATGACGATTTCATGAAGCAAAGCGATAGTATTGACTGTATAGGCACAATGACTATCCCATATTGGATTTGTTTGCTGCTGCCGAGGCTGCTGCTGTTAAAGAATCTTGCGGCTTTGCTAGCTTTGGACGAACTCAGCAGAGACATTTCTAAATCGATTAATTTTTGTTTTGTATTTCGTTATACCTATTGGAATTAAAAGGCTACAGTATACAGTACAGTATCTTCAAATTTGTTACTTAACGTATAAAGGAAAAAAAAAGATATAGAAATCATTGAGCCTATAAACAATACTGCATTGCCTCATGCAATCGTGAAAGAATCTGCTTTTGATAGATACGCATAATACCTATCAAATATTGCGAATATCGACAAACTCATCCGATTTTTTTCTGAAATCGTAGAGCACAACAATTCGAAATGGGGTTATTAATTAGCCTAAGATTAGCCTAGAAATCCCAAAGTAACGAATCGGAAGAATAATATCTTCTCGAAAATTACTTCGCCCGAAGCTAGCAAAGTCACAGGTTTGTTTGAAAAATATGCAGCAAAAAATTCCAAGATGGGATGGTTGTTGAGGCCACAGTCAATAACATCCCTTTACCTCATGAAATCGTTATAAAAAATGCTTCTGATAGACATGCATAATGCGCAGTGAATAACGAGTATTTCGACAAATCGATTCGATTTTTTTTGACACGTAGAGCAAACAATTTGGAAAAAAAATATAAGTAGCCTGGAATTACAGTCACTGGATGGTATTAGTTATATAAGAGTTCGGACACAGCTGAACTTTTGTCCTTTTCTATTTTCTATAATACAATGGTTTAAGTGAATAAAAGAATAAGACATATATTCTGCTCTTTGTCTTTTCAATTTCCCTAGTAGCGCCTGATTGTCAGATACGATTTTAGAGGTTATATTTTCTGTCAAATCAATCATAACCGTAGATGGACAATGGATATAGGGTACAAACACCCACTTCAATTCATAGTGATACACTTCTAGCAGAGCAAGATTTATATAAATGAAAAAAAAATGCATGTAACAACATTTCAATATCAGAGAATATATACATATGGATAAACTTATAGCTATAATTCCTTATTGTATGTGGAACTGTACTCTAGTGAAGTATTCCTGAGTCAATTTTAAGAAATAAAGTCTATATAAGCTTGTGTCTGGAAATGCTTTATTTCGGAGATACAGGGTGTTGAAATACAGAGAACAAATCATTTTTCCATAAAGATTTCATGGGAGGAAAGTAATTTATTGTGACGAGACCTACCAAATACTTGGTTTTGTTGAGTTCTCAGCAACTTCACTTAGCGCCGTAGGAGCTGAGTAACATGGATCGATATAAAAAATATCTCCAAAACAATAACCTCCAGCGTAATTGAGGCCCTTGTAATAATTCCCTTGATACATAAATATCTATTCACTTTTCACTATTGAATTTTCGCGGTCAGCACCAAAACGCCAATAATATATCACGTTGTAGTTTACTTGCTTCTCTTAGTTTCGTTTTCAAATTTTCAATTTCATAATGTAATCTTGCGATCAAATCTCCTTTTTCCATGACTATTTTGTTTTGTATTTTGTGTGATGATAATAATAGAATTTTGTTCTTGAAATCGTCTGCTCTGTAAATTGATGGAATAGCAGATTCTCTCAAACAGATTTCGAAATCTGCTGTTTGAAAATGGGCCTGAAAAATTGATTCATTCTAATCAGATGCTGTTATAAGAAGTGAATTTCAATGAGTACCTCAAAAATTTCGCTCGTCTTCAAATTGATTTTCCACCCAGGCCGTTTCATATCTTCCTTCCATAAGCGAATGCTTGATATTGGATTTGGAAAATCGAATAAATGATATCCATTTGTTTCAAAATTGGTACAATTTATTATACAGCAAGTGATTTCCATAGCTGCTTTCATCTCGAGAGTATAATAATTATGAAATTTTATTTCAATTCTGACGTTTATGAAATGAATTGTCAAATTCAAAAAATTTTGAATGAGAAAGCGCGGGACGACTATGGTGCTCTTGTCACAATGCAAGGTGTGTAACTTTATAAATCTAAACATTCAAAAACCCTAACTGTTGTCATTTCTGTGTCCGAACTCTTATCAAACTAATATCCAGTGACTCTACCTGGAATGAGCCTTCTAATCCTAATATAACGAACCAGTGAAAAATATATTCTTTCTGAGACTGGTTCTGCCGAGTTCGATCAATGCTAGCAAGCCCACGAGTCTTATTAAAAAAATGTACAGCGAAAAATTCCGAAATGGGATAGTAGTTTAGCCTA